AAAATAAAGGGCACCCAAATTGGAAAGGAGAAACTAAGAATATCATTAGTCACAGATGACATGATCTTATATGTAGAAAATCCTAAAGAATCCATAAGAAAACTGTTAGAATTAATAAATGAATTCAGTGAGGTTACAGGATATGAGTCAAACATGTGAAAATCAGTTGTGTATCTATACACTAGCAATAAACAGTCTAAAAATGAAATTAAGAAAACAACTGTACTTAAAATAGCAACAAAAATATTTACTAAAATTCATATGGACTCTCAAGGGACCCCAAGTAGCCAAAACAGTCTTGAAAAAGAAGAACAAAGTTGGAGGTCTTATACTTCCTGATTTCAAAATTTACTACTAACATACAGTAAACCAAAACAGTGTGGTACTGGCATAAAGAAAGACATATAGACCAATGGAACAGAATAGCAAGCCCAGAAATAAACCCTCACATATATGGTCAAGTGATTTTTGACAAGGGTGCCAAACCATTCAATGGGGAAAAGACAAGTCTTTTTTCAACAAATGGTGCTGGAACAACCAGATACCTAGATGCAAAAGAATAAAGTTCGAGCCTTACCTTGCACCATATACAAAAATTACCTCAAAATGGATTAAAGACCTAAACATAAGATCTAAAACCATAAAACTCTTAGAAGAAAAGAAGAGAAAATCCTAACGACATTGGATTTAGCAATGATTTCCTGGCTATGACACCAAAAGCAGAGGGAAAAAAAAAGCAAAAACAGACAAATTGGACTTCATCTAAATTAAAAACATCAGTGAATCCAAGGACACAATCAACAGAGTAAAAAGGCAACCCATGGAATGAGAGAGAATATTTGCAAATCATATATCTGATAAGAGGTTACTATCCAGAAAATATAAACTCCTATAACTCAACAAAAAAACAACCCAATTAAAAAACAGGCAAAGGACTTGAATAGATATTTCTCCAAAGATGATACAGAAATAACTAATAAGCACATAAAGATGCTCAACATCACTAATCATCAGGGAACTACAAACTAAAACCACAACGAGACACCATTTCACACCTGTTAGGAAGGCTACTCTAAGAAAAGAACAGAAAATAACAAGTGTTGGCAAGAATGTAAATAAATTAGAACCCTTGTGCACTGTTTGTGGGACTGTAAAACGGTGCAGCTGCTGTGGAAAACAGTAGGGTGTTTCCTCAAATAACTAAAAATAGAATTGCCATATGATCCAGCCATTCCACTTCTAGATATATACTCCCCAAAATTGAAAGCAGGGTCTTGAACAGATATTTGTACACCCATATTCACAGCAGCATTATTCACAATAGTGAAAAGGTGGAAGTAACCCAAGTGTCTATTGATGGATAAATGGATAAGCAAAATGTGGTATATATATACAATGGAATACCGTTTAGCTTTAAAAAGGAAGAAAATACTTTTACATGTTACAACGTGGATGAACCTTGAGAACATCATGCTAAGTGAAATAAGCCTGTTACTAAAAGATAAATACTGTATGATTTCACTTATATAAGGTACCTAGAGTCGTCAAACTCATAGGGACAGAAAGTAGAATGGCGGTTGCCAGGGGCTGAGCATAAGGTAGAATGGGAAGCTGTTGTTTGAGTGGGTATAGAGTTTCGGTTTCACAAGATGAAAAGAGTTCTAGAGATGGATGATTGTGATGTTTGCACAATAATATGAATGCACTTAATACACTAAACTGCACACTTAAAAATAGTTAAGATAATAAATTTTGTTATACATATTTTACCAAAATTAAAAATAATAAAAAAAGAAAGAAAACAACAGAAGCAAATACTGAGGGAAAAATTTAACCAAGAAGGTATAAGACTTGTACACAGAAAACTACAAAACATCGCTGGAAGAAATTAAAGACCTAAATAAATTGAAAGCCATCCTGTATTCATGGATTGGAAGATTTAATATTGTAATGGCAATAAACCCCAGAGCAACCTACAGATTTAATGCAATTAATATCAAAATCCCAACAACCTTTTTGGTAGAAATTGAAAAGCTGATCCTAAAATTCTTATGGAGACACAAGGGACCTGAATAGCCAAAACAATCTTAAAAAAGGACAAAGTTGGAAGACTCACATTTCTCAATTTTAAAACTTACTACAAAGCCACAGTAACCAAAACAGTGTAGTAATGGCATATGGATAGGCATGTAGATCAAAGGAATAGAACTGAGAGCCCAGAAATAAGGCCTCATATATATAGTCAACTGATTTTTGACAAGGGTGCCAAGACCATTCAATGGGAAAGCATATTCTCTTCAACAACTGGTGCTGAGAAAATTGGATATCCACGTGGGAAACAATGATGTTTGACTCTTATCTCATACCACATACAAAAATTAACTCAATATACGTCAAAGATGCAAATGAAAGAGCTAAAAGTATAAAATTATTACAAGAAAATGTAGGGACAAATCTTTATAACTTTGGATTTAGTAATGGTTTTTTAGACAGGATACCAAAAGCACAAACAACAAAATAAAAAACAGGTACACTGAGACTTGATCAAAAGTAAACTGCTGTGCACCAAAGGACAGTAATTTGTGAGTGAAAAGACAACCCAGAGAGTGGGAGCGAATATTTGCCAATTATCCATGTGATAAGGGCCTACAATACAAAAGATATAAGAACACTTACAACTCAAAAGCAAAAGGCAACCTAATTAAAAAGTGGGAAAAGACTAGGATATACATTTCTCCATAGAAGATATACAAATGGCTGACAAGCACATGAAAAGATGCTTAACGTTATTAGGGAAAGGGAAAGGCAAATCAAAACCACAATCAAAACGACAATGAATATGAGATACCTTTTCATACCCACTAGGATGGCAAAAAAAAAAAGATAAGTGTTGGTGAATGTAGAGAAACTGGAACTCTCAGATATTTGCTGGTGAGAACGTAAAATAGTATAGCCACTGTGGGAAACTGTTTGGCAGTTCCTCACTAAGCTAAACATAGAATTACCAACATAACCCAGTATTTCCACTCCTAAGTATATACCCGAAAGAACTGCATACAGGTGTTCAAACAAAAACTTCTACACAAATGTTCATATCAGCTCTATACATAAAAGCCAAAAGGTGGAAACACCCCAAATGTCCATGAATGGATGAATGGATAAATAAAATGCAGTATATACATACAATGGAATATTATTCAACCATAAAAAGCAATGAAATACTGATACATGCTAGAACATTAATCTTAAAAACATTATGTTCAAGTGAAAGAAGTCTGACATAAAGGTCACATATTGTATGATTCCATTTATATGAAATAACCAGAATAGGTAAGTTCATAGAGACAGAAAGTAGATTAGTGGTTGTCAGGGGCTGGTTAGAAGGGGGAACAGAGAGTGACTGCTTATTAAGTATAAGGTTTCCACTGGGGTGATGAAAAAGTTCTCAAACTAGATAGTGGTCATGGCTGTAAAACACTGTGAATATACTCAGTGCTACTGAATTGTACATGTTAAAATTGTAAACTTTATGTTATGTGTATGTATTTTACCACACATACAAAAAATCCTCTACCTGGATCCTTTCCCCCTATTTCCTCTATGGGACAAAAAGCCTTAGTTTGTGCCATTCCCAATTCTTCACTTTAAAAAAAAAGTTATATTGTACTATTTATATATGTAATCACTGTCATTTAATACCTACCAAAATCTCAATTATTATTTATGCATTATGATATTAATAATATATTATTAACATCACAGAATTATTAATATTAGAATTAATATTTATGGTAAATTGTATGAATGTCTTGTGCCTCCTTTCTAGACTAGTGGTCTCCAGATTTTTTGATCATGTGGTCCTACTGACAAAATATTTTTGAGCACAAATTACCAAAGTAGGTATTTACTTATAAACTATATATTACTACTGTACTGATATATTATAAAACATATACAAAAATATAAATTTTAAAAGGTTGAGAAAAATGAATATAAATCTAATATTTTTCTTTCTTCTATATTCTAAAGAACTATTTTGTAAGCATCCCTCTTTGGAGAACACTTTTCTAGATACCCCAAATTTTATTCTTGGTTTGAGGTATTGGTTTGCATTTGTTCACACCTCGAGATTTGCCTTTACTGAACTCCCTAAACTAAGGCCATATTAGCCTTATGGGTGTTGTTACTGAACCTATTGTAAGGATATTGCTGGGGGCTCTGTTACACTGCGGTGCCTTCTTTAGGAGGACAGATGAGAGAAATTTCTCTTAGGTCTTAGTACCAGAAATATCTGTAATGCTTTTGAAAATTTGTTTTTATATTATAGACTCATGTCATTGATCACAAAATTCTAGCAACACCAACTGCTAGAAAACATAAAGTGAAATTTGTGACTCACTTCTAGCAACCATATTCACAAGGTATATTTATCTCCCCTCTGGCTTCAATGTGTTTTCCCATCACTCACAATTCTTTGTTATTTATTTTTTAAAATCATGTTGTAGCTCACCCCTCCCTGGCTTCAATTTAATTTTCTGTCATTCCAATTCTTCATTTACTTAAAAAAAATCATATTGTATTACTTATATATGTATGTGTGTATGTGCTGTATGTGCTTAAAAGCACCTCAGAATTTCTTGAAAGACAAGAAGGAATAAACAAACAAAAAACAAACAAATTTAAAAAAAAACAGGCAATGATGTGCAGAATGGAGGTCATTCTAAACTCGAAGCTCCCCTATGCCAGGGTTATACTTTGCAGATTCTGAAGAATTTAGCAGCAAAGCCCTTTATCCAAAGGGTAATTCGTAATGGGTGGTGATGAAAAGAATGACAACTCACAATAGCACTGTACCACACTTTCTCACTCTTTTCCAGTTGGTAAGAAATGTTATAGTGAGGAAAGGGCAATTGGTTTTTTTTTCACCTGTGTGCAAAGCTTAATGAAAAAGTCCATGAAAAAGGCAGTCACATTGCCAGATGGAATTTGTAGCCATGTACCTGGAGGTGTTTCCTTCTGGTGTGCTCAGAAGTCATTAGGGGATGACCTGTATTCAAAACTTTCTTGTTCTTCCTACTTCGTTTCTCAAGGTATCTCCTCTGATGGTCAGTGATGCTGCTGTATAATTTAATTCGCCTGGGTGACAAACAAACTCTTTCATGGCCAAAAGCTTGGATCAATCGAGCAGTGTCAATGGTAGAAATAGAGCTGCTCCTCTCATGCAAAGTCACCTCTTTATCTGTTTGGGTCAATGTATCCGATTCCGCAGGAGAAGTGGTGGTAGAGAGGATGTTGGTGGCAGATTCTGTGAGCAGCTCACTCTCCTCTGAGACTCTAGAATCTGAAGAAGTGTTGTTTATATAGTGAAAACTTGGCTGTTTTCTCAGAATATATTTATCAAATTTAATCTGTTCAATTTTAATCTGATTGGACCTCCTACCTTGATGAGTAGAAAGCACCTTGGTTTTTTTAAGATCTCCTGTGTTTTTATTGCATTTCTCTAGGCTTTTACACTGCTTCTTTTGCTGAAGCTTGTTTTTCTGCTGTTGCTGTCTACCACTCCATTCCTTAACATCTCGTTCCCCTCTGCTATCATCCTGTGTACTTTCCGAGGGCCACAGAGAATGTGTGATGGGACTCTGAAGAAGTTTAGCCAAACGATCAAGTCGCTCCACCAAGGATAGTTCTTTCCTGCCAGTGAACTCATGAGGTTTCTGTTGCCTCTGTCGCTCCTGATACTTGTTCCACAGCTCATTTAAACTCACAGTGTGCTGAGTTGTTAGCTGCTCTGCGGTCACCTTATGACCCCTTTTTGGATCATTAATTTGTTTGTCACAATTTGGATAATCTCTGGCCTGATTTTTAGTAGTAGGCATCCCTTCTTTGTTTTCCAAGTTTACATTGATACTGAGGCTCTCTATTTTGGTATAATCCATCTTTGTCTTTTCTACATTTTGATAAGGAGGAGGAAGACAAGTGTATTCTCTTTGTTTGTCTGCATGATGCTGAAAGAAATCTTTCCAAGAATGCTTCATGAAAACACTCCTTCCTAAGGAATCATGGCAAAATTCTTGATCACTTGGTAGGTGCACTGGATGATGAAAGTAAAACTTGGCTGACTTGAAGACAGAATGGGTAGTATTTTCAAATTCTGAATGACGTCTGGACTCTGAAAAGGAGGAAAAAAGATTTTGAAGGACTTTCAAAATATGTGCATTCCCTTCAGAAAGAGTATTCACACTTAACTCTTTAGCTATAGAACAAAGACCAAAGGAAACAATAGTTTATATAGTTTCAGAAAATTCACTGCCTGCACAAAGGATTCATCCCTTGTGCCTAGCGGCCAGACTGGCAGAGTAAAGTTTAAGAGACTCAGGGTCAAAGACCTGGATTCCGGGCTGGACTCTGCCACAGACTGGCTGTGTGACCTCAAGAAAGGCACTTTAGTTTTCTGGATTATAATAGCAGCTGCTGTGTATTCACTGCCTGCTATGTGTGGGGTGTTATGATATGTGTTCTATATCTGTTTATTTTTTTCCTTTTAATTCAATCTTGTTGATAAAACTGAAAGACAGGTATTGGTAACCTCATTTTCAGCTAAGAAACTTGAGACTTCATTTTCATCATCAGTAATTAAATGGATGGAATAAAGAAAGAAACAACTCTGAATGTTTCAGAGCTTTTTAAAATTCCTTTCTGTGAACCATCTTCACATTCTTCCCCAAATTTTTTTTATTGTGGTAAAATACAGCTAACATAAAATTTACCCTCTTCCATCTTCACTTTTTGACAGTCATTATTCTGTATCAAAACAGATATTTTTACATGTAATAATATCTTACAATCATAAACCTTAAGTAAAAAACACTAATATGGGATCACTACACATTTCTGGAGTTACAAGTCATGGGCAGAAACAAAGACGTATACATGCAACGAAGTAACACTTGTAACTCTGGGATCTTTTTCACCCACACTATAGATTATTGGCAATCACAGTTTTCATTATATACCCTGGGAATTCCTAAGGCAATTTCCCCAGAATACAGTGGGATATGTGGCATCTGCTTTCATCTCTCAAGTATAAAAGTTAGACTCTCAAACCTCCCAAGGAAACAACACCCAGGACCAGATGGCTTCACTGGTGCATTTCACCAAACATTTAAACACGAATTAATATGAAATCTTCTCAAATTCTTCCAAAAAAAGAAAAAGAAGGAACACTTCCAAACTCAATTAATGAAGCCAGCGTTACCCTGATACCCAGACAAGGACATTACAAGAAAAGAAAATTACAAGCCAGTATCCTTCAAGAACACAGATGTGAAAATCCTCAACAAAATATCAGCAAACCAAATTCGACAATATTTTAAGGGATCATACACTATGATCAAATGGGATTTATTCCAGGGATACAAGGATGGTTCAACATCTGTAAATCAATCAATGTGACAGACCACATTAACAAACTATTAAAAATCATATGATCATCTCAATAGATGCAGAAAAAGCATTTGACAAAATTCAACATCTATTTATGATAAAAACTCTCAACAAAGCAACTATAGAGGGAATGTATCTCAACATAATAAAGGCCATATGTGACAAGCCCACAGCTAACATCACACTCAATGGTGAAAAGCTGCAAGTTTTTCTTCTAAGATCAGGAACAAGACAAGGATGCCCAGCTACACCACTTTTATTCAACATAGTATGGGAAGTCCTAGCCAGAGTAATGCGGCAAGAAAAAGAAACAAAAGCCACCCAAATCAGAAGAAGCAAAACTGTTTCTATTTGCAGATGACATGATATTATACATAGAAAACTCTAAAGGCTCCACAAAAAAACTGTTAGAACTAATAAAAAAATTCAGTAAAGTTGCAGGATACAAAATCAATATACAAAAATCAGTTGCATTTCTATCCACTAATAATGAACTAACAGAAAGAGAAATTAAGAAAATAATCCATTTACAATTGCATCAAAAAGAATAAAATATCTAGGAATAAATTTAAATCTAGGAATAAATTGTACACTGTAAGACCTGTACACTCAAAACTATAAGACACTGTTGAAAGAAGCTGAAGAAGACACAAATAAATGGAAAGATATTCTGTGCTCATGGATTGGAAGAATTAATATTGTTAAAATGTCCATAATACTCAGTGTAATCCCTATCAAAATTACAATGGCATTTTTCACAGGAATAGAACAAACAATCATAAAATTTGTATGGAACCACAAAAGACTTCAAATAACCAAAGCAATCTAGAGAAAGAAGAACAAAGTTGGAGGCATCATGCTCCCTGATTTCAAACTATATATCACAAGCTATAGTAATCAATCATTATGGTTATTGGCATAAAAACCGACATATAGATCAATGGTACCGAATAGAGAGCTCAGAAATAAACTCACGCAGAAAAGGTCAATTAATTTACAACAAGGGAGCCAAGAATATACAATGGTAGAGGATAGTCTCTTCAATAAATGGTATTGGGAAAACTGGACAGCCACATGCAAAAGAATGTAACTGGACCACTATCTTACACTATACACGAAAATTAACTCAAAATGGATTAAAGATTTGAACATAAGACCTAAAAGCATAAACTCCTGGAAGAAAACAAAGGTGGGTAAGCGCCTTGACATTGGTCTTAGCTATGATTTTTTGGGTTTGACACCAAAAGCAAAGGCAACAAAAGCAAAAATAAACAAGTGGGACTACATCAAACTAAAAAGCATCTGCATAGCAAAGGAAACCATCAACAAAATGAAAAGGCAACCTACCAAAAGGGATAAAATATTTGCAAATCATATATCTGATAAGGGATTAATATCCAAAATAGATACAGAACTTATACAACTCAATAGCAAAAACATAATCTGACTTAAAAATGGGAGAAGATCTGAAGAGACATTTTTCCAAAGAAGACATACAGATGGCCAACAGGTATATGAAAAGGTGCTCAACATCACTAATTATCAGAGAAATGCAAATCAAATCCACAATGAGATATCATCTCACACCTGTCAGAATGGCTATTATCAAAAAGATAAGAGAGTGTTGGTGAGGATGGGGAGAAAAGGGAACCTCTGCGCACTGCTGGTGGGAATGTAAATTGCTGCAGCCACTATGGAAAACAGTATGGAGGTCCCTCAAAAAAATAAAAATAGAATACCATATGATTCAGCAATTCTATTTCTGTGTATTTATCCAAAGAAAACAAAAACACTAACTCAAAAGATATATGCATCCCTATGTTCACTGTGGTATTATTTACAGTAGCCAAGATATGGAAACAACCTAAGTGTCCATCTATGGACGAATGGATAAAGAAAATGTGCTGTGTGTATATATATATATACACACACACACACACACACTAGAATATTATTCAGCCATAAAAAGAAGGAAATCTTGCCATTTACAACAACATGGATGGACCTTGGGGGCATTATGCTAAGTGAAATAAGTCAGACAGAGAAAGACAAATACTGCATGATCTCACTTATACGTGGAATCTAAAAGAAAAACAAAACTGAGCTCATATATACAGAGAACAGATTGGTGGTTACCAGAGGTGGGGATGAAGGGTAGGCAGGTGAAGGCTGTCAAAAGCTACAAACTTCCAGTTATAAGATGACTAAGTCCTGTGGATGTAATATATGGCATGGTGACTATAGTTAACAATACTGTATTGTATATTTGAAAGTTGCTAAGAGAGTAAATCTTAAAAGTTCTCACCACAAGAAAAAAAAATTGTAACTATGTATGGTGATGGATGTTAACTACACTTATTGTGGTAATCACTTCACAATGTACACATATCAAATCATTATGTTGTACACCTAAAATGAATACAATGTTATATGTCAATTACATCTCAACTTAAAAAAGGCTCTCTATAATTTTAGAATTATCTAGCAACGCTTAAAAATTGGAAGGTTTTGCTTAGTTTCTATAGGTATTTGAGATTGCAGCTACATAATTACAAATTGTATTAAGGGCTATGAAGGATAAAAACAAAGTGATGTAAAAATAACTAAAATGGGAAATGGTTGTTAGAGAAGGCTTCTTTGAAGAGGCTGAAAAGTGAAGTATAAATGAAAACTAAACCAAAAAGACAACAGGTGAAGAACATTTTGGGCAGAGAGATCGTCATGTAGGTAACCCTAATGTCACCCTCTGCCAATCCACCTGTAGCTGTAGCCTTTTCACATGCAGTAGCAGAACCATCCCTCCTTCTTTTAAAGGCAAGTCCCTCCACTGATGCTCTGGAGCCCAACTCATCTTCCTTTCAAGATCTTTGTTCCTTTCCCTATCATATCTCTCTTATATCTCCAGGCTCTCTCTCTTTACTGGATCATTTCCAACATCTTGAAAGCATCATTTATTATAGCATATCTTTAGAGAACTCTTACATCCTCCTTCAGGTACTGACCCATTTCTTTGCTCCTCTTTACAGTCAAGCTTCTAAAGTGGAAAATATAATTTTCTTTTTCTTCACCTCTTTCCCTATCCCAATTCACTTTTCCAATCAAAGTACAGCCATAATACCATTGGACTAAAGCTGCTCTTGCTAAGATGATCAATGACCTCCACGTGTGGCCAATTACAGGGCTGTACTCATTCTATATTCTCTTTCTAGGTGATCTCATCTCTCCCTGTGGCTTTTAGTACCATCTTTATGCTGTTAACTACTCTCAAATTTACATTTCAAGCTATGACTTGTCTTCTCTCTTGAGCTCCAGATACATATTCAACTACATACTTGATATACCCACTTGGATCCCACAGCCATCTCAAATGTTAAATGTCCTTAAATGAACTCTATACTAGCCTTCTCCAAACCTGTACCTCTCCCAATCTTCTCCATCTCTGTAAATGGCACATCACTCAAACCCAAACCAAAATCTGGGAGTTATTCTTGACACTTCCATCTCCCACACGTTCTTGCTCCTGCCATTAATCCCTCACCAAACAATCATAAATTTGTCTACTTCTCTCCATTTCCTCTCACAATACTGCATGTCTCTAATAGGTCTCCTGTGCATTCTTGTCCTCTTCCAATCTATTCTTCAAATAGTGGTCGGAGTAATCTTTTAAAAATGTAAACTGGACCAGTCATTTTCTATTTAACAACTTTCACTGGCTTTCTCTTACAC